GGGCATGTGCCCTGACCAGGAATCAAACCCTGATCGCCTGGATCCTAGATCAAGGCTTAACCACTGAGCCACTCCCGGCCGGGCAATTTTTGAGTTTTTTATATAGTGTTTGATTTCTAGTTTCATGGCATTGTGATCTGAGAAGATGGTTGATATGATTTCAATCTTCTTATATTTGTACAGACTTGCCTTGTGGTCTATTTTTGAGAATGTTCCATGTGCACTTGAGAATGTGTATTCTGTTGCTTTGGGGTGAAATCTTCTGTAAATGTCAATTAAATTCATTAGGTCTAGTGAGTCATGTTAGGTCTGTTTCCCTGTTGATTTTTTGTCTTGATGATCTGTCCATTGCTGACAGGGGGGTGCTAAAGTCTCCCATTAGGAATGTGTTTCTGTCAATCTCCCCCTTAAAGTCCCCCAAGAAATTTTTTTATATATTTAGGTGCTCCTATATTGGGTGCATAAATGTTTATAAGGGTTATTTCCTCCTGTTGCATTGATCCCTTTAGTATCATGTAGTGACCATCTTTGTCTCTTGTTATGGTCTTTATTTTGAAGTCTATTTTGTCAGAAATAAGAATTGCTGCTCCAGCTTTCTTTTCCTTTCCATTTGCATGGAATATTTTACTCCATCCCTTCACTTTTAGCCTGTGTGAGTCTTTTGCTCTCAGGTGGGTCTCTTGTAGACAGCATATATTTGGGTCCAGTTTTCTTATCCATTCAGCTACCCTATGTCTTTTGATTGGACCATTTATTCCATTTACATTTAAGGTTACTATTGATATAAACATATTTAATGCCATTTTTCCCTTTTATGGTGATGTACCTTTCTCTCAAAAAGAAGGAATCTTCTTTTTTTTAAAGCAGTCCTTTTAGCATTTCTTGCAATACCGGTTGGTGGTACTGAACTTCTTTAGCCTTTTATTTGTCTGGGAAGCTTTTTATTTCACCTTCAATTTTAAATGATAGCCTTTCTGGATAAAGCAATCTTGGTTGCATGTTTTTGCTTTTCATTACTTTGAGAACTTCATGCCACTCCCTTTTGGCCTGAAGAGTTTCTCTTGAGAAATCAGATGTCAGCCTTATGGGGGTTCCCTTGTAGGTCACTGCTTGTCTCTCTCTTGCAGCCCTTAATATTTTCTCTTTGTCCTTGACATTTGCCATTTTAATTCTGATGTGTCTTGGAGTGGGTCTCTTTGTGTCCCTCTTGTTTGCAACCCTCTGTGCTTCCTGAACTTGTGTGGCTTTCTCCCTTTCCAGCTTAAGGAAGTTTTCAGTCATTATTTCCTCCACCAAGTTCT